AGTCACAGCTACTCCGTGTGACTTCTGTCCTCCAGCCGCCCAGACCTTCTCCATCACTTAATCTATCGGCAGCTGCAGCGAGTCCAGCGTCATAAATCAGAGCCGCTCTGATGGACGGACAAGACGGTGGACTTCTGTAGATTACTGATGACGGCGACACGTCCATCCATCGTCCTGATGGAGCAGCAGCGTCATTACAGTCGCTGCAAAGAGGACGAGCTTTAGAACTGATGAGCGGCTCGGTTCAGCGCAGCCGTCTGATCCACGTTAGGAGAATTTATTCCATCACGGGAGGAACGTTTCTGCTGAGGTTCTGCTGCACTCTGGTACCACCTGCAGGACTTTGAAGCTCTCGTTTATCTGCAGCTGCTTCAGTCTGAGAGTTGACCAGAGACCAGATTTAAAGTCTCTGCAGCGTGACCTGTTCACCGTCTGCTCCAGAAGTGATTATTATTATTATTATTATTATTATTATTATTACTATTATTATTGTTATTATTATTTTATTAGAATTGAATAGAACTTTATTGATCCCTTTGGTGCAAACCTCAGGGAAATTGTTGTATTATTATTATTACATTAAAAAAACAAAAAACGAGACATTTGTCGTCTTGGACTTTAGGAAACACTGACTGGAACCAAATAGCTGATTGATTCATAAAACAAAAGCCTGAATGATGGACAGTATAAACAGTCTCTAGCTGCAGCAGTAAATCTTTATCGCACGCCGTCTGGTTCATGTTCAGACTAAAGTTTAGATGGTTTATGTTTCACATCTACACTCGTGTGATTCATTACTGGACAGTTCATCCAGAGAACGAGCTGCACATTCATTACTTGTTCTCTGCAGCTCCTCTGCAGCTCTGAAAGCTGCGACGTGGTTCCACCGCCGGACGTTGCAGGTGTTTGTTTTGCAGCCTGCAGCTTGTTTCGTCCTCCGTGTTTCTGTCCTGGACTCTGTGGGGTTACTCCAGGTCGGGTCTCTGTGTGGAGCAGAACCGAGCTGCAGGAACTCGTTTAGATTCTCCTCACTGTAAAAACTCAATGTTTTTACTCGACTGTTTATTTAACAATTTGCTGTTATTTTACTGATTTTCCCGACGTGTTCAATCACAGATAAGGACCAGTAAAACCACAGAAAACATAAAGTCCACATCAAAACGAGTGTCTTTACAGTTTCATCTCATTTGGTTTTTGTGTATTTGGCTGTAATCTTATAATACTTTTATTGTATTTTAATCGGCTAAAAATGATTATTTTACGAATATTTTCTGGTTCTTGAAGGAAATGTTTTGCATGTTAAGAATTTTATTTTATTGTATTTATAAATGTTGTTTTACAGATTTGTCCAGTTTTGTTAAATTACAAATAATATCTATTAAAATCGGAGAAAAACTATGAATTTACGTTACCCTAAAAAACTATTTAAAAAAATAAATTAAAAAAAAACTACAAAAAACTATAAATACTGTCTTCAAAAAAATAATAAATAAATAAATAAATAAATAGCACTCCAATGTTTTAGTGTTTCGCTGCAGAATTGCTCCTTTACTTTTTACTGTATTTAAATCAGCCAAAATATCTAAATATTAATGTACTAATGTTATTGTTTACATGTATTTGCTATTCTTTAAAGGAAAAATTATNCCCCCCATGACCCTGGTGAGGATGAAGGTGTAGAGATGATGGATGGATGTTAATACAAATATTATTAGACGCTCCCTAATCTGCTCCATGTTTAGTTCAAATAACAGAAACACAAGAGAATGTTTTGCTTTCAGTGTAATTTATCGTCAAACATTGTAAAAGAACAAAAGACGATTCTTTATGTGGACCGTCTGATAACGGACAGAACCGTCCTGAGCGGCTGGAATCGGACCACTTCACAGTTTTTGTCTAAATATAGAGAAAGGGGGGGGGAGGGGGGGAGCATACATCTAATGCAGCGCTAGCCCCCCCCCCCTCCGAGCCGCCTCGCCTCCTCCTCCATCTGCGGCCCTCCGCCCTCCATCTGCCTGCAGCACGCTCCTCCTTCTCCACGTCCTCCGCCTCCTGCAGACGTCCAGCCTCGGCGCTGCTCGTCTCTGGCGGCACCATATGTGATGAGTGAGGTGTGCTCCGGCTCTCGCTCCGGCTATAAATAGGAGCGACGCCTGGACGGACAGCATCCATAGGAGGGCCGCTGTGGGTGGATGTGTGTCTCATCTCTGTTTCTGTTTCACCCACAGAGTCCAACTGCACCTACTTCAAGTTCTTCACCTCCGGAGAGAACGCCGTCATCTTCAGGAAGACGACGAACAAGAGTGAGCTGCACCACCGGCACCAGCAGCCTCCACCGATAGAGACGCTCAGCGCTGCTGCTGCTGCTTGATGCACGTTTTAGCTCATTAACTTCCACCAAAGCCGCCGCCCAGCTCCTCCAGAGCAAGCCATCAGCGCTCACACTGATTAATGTGTTTGCTCTTCAGAGCCAAGCGTTAGCCGGCCGAGGTTTAATGCTCACGAGTCGTCTTTATGTGTTTGCTCACAAGTCTGGGACAAAAAAGTTCTGACATGTGACAGGAAGCTGTGAGAGGAAACTGCCTCCAGGAGGGTCACCTAGAGAGCACAAAGTTCAGACTGCATCACCACGCAGCTCTGAGTGAAGGATGCTGGGTGGGACGAACAGCCGGCAGGTTTCACGTCTTCTTAGGCTCATTTTTAAATCCTGTAACTGCAGCAAAAAACAAAAAAGCAACTCCTGGAACATGAACTTCACCAGACGTGTGTAGAGGAGCATCTCAGAAGGCTTCCTGCACAGTTTAACTCACAAACTGACATTTATCTGTAGCAGAGCTTNTATTATTATTGTTATTATTATTTTATTAGAATTGAATAGAACTTTATTGATCCCTTTGGTGCAAACCTCAGGGAAATTGTTGTATTATTATTATTACATTAAAAAAACAAAAAACGAGACATTTGTCGTCTTGGACTTTAGGAAACACTGACTGGAACCAAATAGCTGATTGATTCATAAAACAAAAGCCTGAATGATGGACAGTATAAACAGTCTCTAGCTGCAGCAGTAAATCTTTATCGCACGCCGTCTGGTTCATGTTCAGACTAAAGTTTAGATGGTTTATGTTTCACATCTACACTCGTGTGATTCATTACTGGACAGTTCATCCAGAGAACGAGCTGCACATTCATTACTTGTTCTCTGCAGCTCCTCTGCAGCTCTGAAAGCTGCGACGTGGTTCCACCGCCGGACGTTGCAGGTGTTTGTTTTGCAGCCTGCAGCTTGTTTCGTCCTCCGTGTTTCTGTCCTGGACTCTGTGGGGTTACTCCAGGTCGGGTCTCTGTGTGGAGCAGAACCGAGCTGCAGGAACTCGTTTAGATTCTCCTCACTGTAAAAACTCAATGTTTTTACTCGACTGTTTATTTAACAATTTGCTGTTATTTTACTGATTTTCCCGACGTGTTCAATCACAGATAAGGACCAGTAAAACCACAGAAAACATAAAGTCCACATCAAAACGAGTGTCTTTACAGTTTCATCTCATTTGGTTTTTGTGTATTTGGCTGTAATCTTATAATACTTTTATTGTATTTTAATCGGCTAAAAATGATTATTTTACGAATATTTTCTGGTTCTTGAAGGAAATGTTTTGCATGTTAAGAATTTTATTTTATTGTATTTATAAATGTTGTTTTACAGATTTGTCCAGTTTTGTTAAATTACAAATAATATCTATTAAAATCGGAGAAAAACTATGAATTTACGTTACCCTAAAAAACTATTTAAAAAAATAAATTAAAAAAAAACTACAAAAAACTATAAATACTGTCTTCAAAAAAATAATAAATAAATAAATAAATAAATAGCACTCCAATGTTTTAGTGTTTCGCTGCAGAATTGCTCCTTTACTTTTTACTGTATTTAAATCAGCCAAAATATCTAAATATTAATGTACTAATGTTATTGTTTACATGTATTTGCTATTCTTTAAAGGAAAAATTATATATATATATATTTTACAGTTTATGAACTATTTTTTCCTGTTCTTAGTAAGATAGATAGAAGATTACAGATAATATTTTGTAAAATTTCTGAAAAATAGTGATTAATGTTAACTGGGAAAAAAAACATATGTTTGCAATTCTTGTCACAGATTTTATAGTTTTTGAATGAAACATGTTTTTTTTTAAATATACATATTTTTTGGCCCCTTGTTGCCAGAATTGCACTTTTTTTCCCCATGTAAAATGTCTTATATATATATATAAAATAAAATATGTCGATTTTTTGAGATTTAATCTGTTTTACATGTAATTTATTAACAGTGCACTCTTTGTCTCTGTCACATTGTCTTTATTTTTTTTTTAAACAGATGTTTTTTTGTGCTGCTCTGTATGTCTGTGTGAGAGTCCACTGTGTTTTGTTTTAGGTTTTTTTTTACAGTGCAGTCTGTGTGTGAGCTTCAAGCAGTTTCACATATAACTAACTGAGCGTCTCTGCCTCTGTCAGATGTTCTTTGTTTTTAAAACAGGTTTTTCTTCTACAGAGCTTCCTATGTTTCTGTGAGATTCCACTTTTTTTGTGTTTTTTTGTGTATTTTTTTAAACAACATGTTTTTTGTTTTTTTTTGCAGTGCATCGTCTCTCCGTGACCCCCTCCTTCCTGTCGGCGTGCTGCGCTGCAGTAAAATGCGACCCCTCTCGTATAAACTCCTCCTTCGGCCACTTAATGTCATTAACAGGTGGTCGTCCAAAATAGCAGCTCGCAGCAGATTCAGACGTGTTTTGAATCCGCCTGCGGTCGTGTGAGCGGACCACCCTGCTGCAGCGCCGCCGCATTATTTACTGCTGCAGACGTGTTGGTGAACATACAAACACACATGTGAGAGTGAGCCAACCAGGCTGCAGCCCCCCACCACCTCCTCCAGGCTCCATAAGCGGAGGCGCCTCCCACCGGCCTCCCACCGGCTCCCCCATCACTCTGCCCTCTCTTAGGTTTCAGGCGTCTCTTCCTCCTGAACCGAACAACACAGCAAACAGGTCAGGCTCATTCTTCTCTTTTCAGTCTTCTGCAGGTCGCCGTGGTCGCTGACACGGTCGACAAATCCTCGTTTTCACAACATAGAATGCTCAGAGCGACCCCGCCGAGCCGCCGTAGGGTCTGAGCAGAGCTGTAGCTCCACATGAAGGTCCAGGAGAACGCTGTAGCAGCTGCTCTCTGACCTGCTGCTCGGTCTGAGGTTGTTCTGGATGTAACGTGATCGAGGTTTGTGGCTCCATGAACACCAGCGTGGCTGTCAGCAGCTGCAGCCTTCATATTGTTTATTACAGTTAATGATGGGGGGGTATTTTAATGCACGGCTGCTATTCCACACCTTCTGCTCCATGAGCTGCTGTTTGGTTCCTCTGAGTGTCAGAAGATCATCCAGTCAGAGCAGCGTGGACAGGAGGTCAGCGTTCTTCTGGCTCCAGGTGACGTTCTGCCTGAAAACCCCGTTAACGCTCCGTAACGGTCCCAATAATGTAATAAGACATACCGACAAGTTCATGAAGCAACACCTTCAGATGCTTCAGTTTGCAGCCACACCAGCCTGTCTTCAGCTGTCTGGTCTCCAGGATGTCAGAAAAATATGAGTCAGGGTTTCCTCACAATGTCTTGTTTGTGTAAAAATATCCAGTTTAATGTCACGAAGGAGCAAAGACGCCGGAAAATATTCACATTAGAAAGAATTTTTTAAAATGGCTCAAAACAAAGACGTGTAGCTGATGAGTGGTTGGTCAGCTGAAGCCTCACCAATCAGTCGGCTTGAAGCCATTTTAAGGCAACAACAGTCGAAATCTGCTGGAACTTCATCACGTTTATGCAGAAACTCAGGAACACGGTGAACAGATCTGAGAGCTGAGA